CAGCGTTCCCTAACTCGCTATAAAGAGTTATGAACTGTCCATTGCCAAGAAATTGAGGAGTGATTCCTTGACATGTTTCTCTTTTTCTTTGCAACCCCTCCCCATGTCACCTATCCTTAAGCCCCAAGGATATTTACCTCCTAAATCTCTCTCCTTCTCAACATCTCCAATCTACCATCATCAAGGTCCAACTACCATCATCTCTCACCTGGATTTCATCAATAACCTTTCACTATTTGCATGTAATAGTGTAATTCATGTAATTCATCCACAACAGCCAGAGAGCTTTTCAAGTTTTCTCTCTGTCCCCTCCAACAACAGTCACACTGTCATTTTAATTCCTTGTGTTGACCAGTTGCCTCCTTCTGAAGTGCCTGAACACATGATCTTACCCCTTGTCTGTGTGAATCCTCATTCATACTTATTATCTCTCTGGCACACACACTATGGTAAATAAATACATATTGAATGAATCCATCAGTCAAGAGCATACCTTTAAACAGCTACTTGAGATTTTTCTTAGGCAAGGAGAATCCAACCATTTCTTAAGTGCATTCGAATTAAGGGACATTTTAGCATTTGTGTGAAATTTTGAAAGCTCTAACAAATAACAGTTTCTGTTTTTACAAACATAACTGAGGTTAAGCAAAATATACCAAGTAAAAAATAACTTCATACTAAACTGGCTAATTATGGGTGAAAGTGGCCATTTATGCTTTGACAATGATCAGAGACAGCCTTATAAACTATGCCACTTTAATGAATAATAATGCATTTTATAGTTTTATGCTTTCATTTTAGCATTTCAGAACAGTTCATGAATATACCAATTAATCTCTGCAATGGTATTGTACTCCTCTATCACAGGCCAATTCAAGGAAGTAAATCACACAACGGACTTCGAAAGCCTAGGGAAAAGTCTCAGATGCCTAAGAAAAAGCTCTCTACTTCTTGCACCTTGTTGATGTATGTTTTTATAGTTTTATATAGATCATTAATATCAAACTAAAATAAAAAGAGATTAGCTCTTTTATTTATTTAAATCCTATGTAAACTTATTAAGTAATCTTTTATTTTGAGGGCAATTTTTTATTGTTATAAAATATATGTAACATGAAATTTACCATTTTAGCCATTTGTAAGTGTACAATTCAGTGGCATTAAGTACATTCACAATGTGCGCGGTACAACCATCACTACTATCCATTTCCAGAACTTTTTTTATCATCCCCCCAAAAAAACCCTCTATATCCATTCAACCATAACTCCCCTTCCCTCTTCACCTCCTTCCTGGGCAACCATTAATCTACTTACTATCTCGATGAATTTGACTCTTGTAGGTACCTCATAAGTGGAATCATATAGCATTTGTCCTTTTGTGTCTGGCTTACTTCAGTTAGCATAGTATTTTAAAGGTTCATTCATGTTATAAGATGTATCAGAATTTTGTTCTGTTGTAAGGCTGAGTAATATTCCATCATACATATGTACCAGTTTGCTACCTAGTCATCTGTTCATGGACATTTGGGTTGTCTCCACCTATTGGCTGCTGCCAATAATGCTACTATGAACATTAGTGATGGCATTATCTGTTTCAGTTGTTGCTTCCAATTCTTCTGGATATCCACCTTGAAGCGCAATTGCTGAATCAGATGATCATTCTATCTGTAACTTATTTGGGGAACTACTGAACCGTTTTCCATAGTGGCTGTGTCATTTTACATTCCCGCCAGCAATGTCCTGGGTTGCAATTTCTCCATGTCTTCAGCCACGCTTTTTTTTTTTTTTTTTTTTTTACAATAGCCATTCTACTGGGTGTAATGTGGTATCTCATCGTGGGTTTTGTTTTTTGTTTTTGATGTGCATTTCCCATCATTCCCTGTCCCTGGTTATTTTCGTTCCACTCAAAGCATTAAACATTTTGAATCATCGGTGTTACTTCTTTGCAAAAATATGCTCTCTTAACATCTATGCAGGCATAGCCAACAGCAACTGGCTGCCTCACTGGCCCAACTTTGGCCCCAGGTCCTGGGCGTTCGATGCCTATGTGGTTCACCAGGAAGGCGGGAAGTGCTCTGGGGGTTGCAGGAGTTCCGGGAGGACCTCGGCTACGCCTGGATTGCTCATTACCATATCTCTGGTGCCTAATAGAGTATCTGGCACAGTAGCACCCAATAAATACAGCTTGGTTAATTAATTCAACAAATCTATTCATTAACACATTTGCCTTTGGCAGAGCAGAGAGAAGTTTAGTATCGCGAAGTTTCTTCTCTCATACCCATGTGATGGCATTTCGTTCAAGGTCTCTAAGAACCACGCGCATGTGAAGGACTCCTCAAGTTAGAGTCCTTGGCCTGACCTTTTCCTTGAGCTTCAGATTTGTATTTCCGGCTGCACGCCTGGGTCCCCGATCGGTGCCTCAAGCTTAAAAGATCTAACTATTGGTAGCCAGTAGGTACTACTGGAGACCAAAAGCTCTCCCAGTCACCCACTGGTGCTGTTCCTGGCCTCTAAGACAGATCTCTTGTTTTCCCCTACCAACCTTTTTTTTTTTTTTTTTTTTTTTTAAAGATTTTATTTATTTATTTGACAGAGAGAGACACAGCAAGAGAGAAAACACAAGCAGGGGGAGGGGGAGAGGGAAAGCAGGCTTCCCGCGGAGCAGGGAGCCCGATGCGGGGCTCGATCCCAGGACCCTGGAATCAGGACCTGAGCTGAAGGCAGACGCTTAACGACTGAACCACCCAGGCATCCCTCCCCTACCAACCTTGCTCATCCTCAGGTATGTGTTCCCGCCAAAAGCTGAGGAGACCTCTGCATTGCCCTCTTTCCCTTCGTCCTGACCCCTAAGGCATCAGCAAGACCTGCTGATGGCTTCCAAAACACACCTCCCAACTCCTTCTCCTGATCTCCACTGCTACTGTTATCAAATCTACCACTAGTGTTTTCCACACACCTACCTGGTCTCTCTGTTTCCACCCTGGCCCCTCCTCTTTCCTCATCTCCACCCTACATGACCCACCAAGGATATTCACACAGCAGTTAGTTACTGCCCATCTTGTCTGTTCTCAACCTGTAACTATAACAAAGCACCAGCAGAAAACAAAACAATAAAGCGAACACCTCCATCAACCTTTAACTGGGACACTCAGAAAAGTCAATGTTTATATTTCAAAAGTTTACCTTCTTGGGGTTGCAGAAAGAGTGTATTCAGGGCTCAACTTCAAGATCCATCTTACTTACACACCAGATACACTTTGCTACTATGGACCAAATGAAAGTAAGTCTACTTTCTACTGTGGATGCTAAAATAGAAGGAGGAGCAAGATGGCAGAGGAGTAGGAGACCTAAATTTTGTCTGGTCCCAGGGATTCAGCTAGATAGTTATCAAACTATTCAGAACACCTACAAACTCAACAGGAGATGAAGAAAAGAATAGCAGCAATTCTATGAACAGAAAAACAACGACTTTCTGGAAGGTAGGACGTGTGGAGAAGTGAATCCGAGGCGATACTTGGGAAGATAGGACATTAAAATAAACATACACACAAAACATACGGTCTGACAAAATGGTTTTTCGTTGTTGTTGTTATTCATAGTTGTATGATTTGAACTCTCACGGAAAACAACCCGAGGAAGTCCCAGGCAGTTAGGCATTTAAAGGACTGTCTTCTTTCTTTGAAAAGGATACACAAAACTTGGAAATTGGAAAAATATATTTACTGGGGTACTCAAATCAAAGTATCAAGAACTGCCCAATTTAGAGTTTATCTGAAATTAGTTTTCAAGTTAGAAAAAACTGGATTCAATTATATCTTTATAGTGTCTATTATATACTAAGAGTGGCTTACATATCTTCAGATTGGCTTATAAACAGAAGTGATGCCACTGTACTCAGGGTCACTCCCTGTATCTAGAGTAATGAAGATCACTGAGTGACACAATTAATGTAAGGGCATACGGTAGTCCCCCCTTATCCACAGGGCATACATTCCAATCCCTCCGCCACCACTGGATGCCTGAAACAGCAGAGAGTACCAAACCCTAGATATACTATGTTTTTTCCTATACATACATATGATAAAGTTTCATTTATAAATTAGGCACAGTAAGAGATTAATGGCAATAACTAATAATAAAATACAACAATTATAACAAACGATAATAAACATTATGTGAATGCCATCTTTCTCTCTAAATATCCTACTGTACTGCACTCCCTTCTTCTTGTGATGATGTGACATGGTAAGATGTCTAACATGATGAGCTGAGGTGAGCATAACCATGTGGACAACTTTGATGTAGCGTTAGGCTACTATTGACTTTCTAACAATACGTCAGAAGGAACATCACCTGCTTCCAGACCGCGGAGGACCCCACGTAACCAAAACCGTGCAAAGCGAAACCATGGATGGGAGTGGGGACCTACTGTACAGAGTATTTGAACAGACCTATAGAATTTACAGCTTTAGATACTTAGGCCTAAATTTAATCTCCTAGGAGTTTTTTTTTTTTAATTTATTTCACCTCTGCCTTAGTTCGGTGTTTTATATCCCAACTGAAATTTCCCACAGATTTCCTTGGGTGTGTTATTAATCTATACAACAACCATCATCTGTTCACTGTAACCACCACTATTAATGATCTTTGTCATTATTTTACCATGTCTCTGCTTGTAGTTTGCAATCCTAAATTGACGAAGTACTCCAAATAAATTCAGAAGCTGGTAGAGTCAAGCCTGAAGCTCTGAATAAAGTTACCATCTTGGAGAAGTATATCCAACAACCCTAAGTACTCTTTTCTTTACTCTCTGTTTATAAAATTTGGTGATAAAGGTGTTTGTTCACTACAGACCTAGAGGTTATTTGGATAAAAATATTGCTGGTCTGGGATTCATGCTTCCCCAAGCAATACTGATTTGCTGGGGGATTTTTTTCTCCTGTTCCTATTCAGTGTTTTTAATTTAAAATATTTTATGTTTATGTTGTTTTTTTCCCAATGTTTTATTGAATTAATCCTATATTTTTCAGGCCACAGCAACCACCATAAAGGTATGGCCCAAACTGTCAGATGATATTATTCAGCATTCCTCTGCTCATCCCATATCCTTCAGAGGTAGCTATTTTTATACATTCTATTAGACATCGGGATTTTTAGGTTTTAATTTTAAAGAAATGTTCCACATCTGAGCCCTCTGATATACTCTGAGTTATAGTTACAACTACAGTCAAATAACTTCTCAGGAAAAATGACTTTGTAGTTTGAACATCTTTTCTCCATACCTTCCATATTAATTTTTTCCAGTTCAAAAGTCAAAACAAGATTAGTAGGCTTTGAATCTACCAACAAGTAGAGAAAGATCAGACTTTCACCCCAACATTGAGCTGCTTCCTTTCAGCTTATACATCTTCTCCTCAAGCAATACATTCAAGGACTTGGAATATAATTGGCAATTTTGTTGATGATGAATTAGATTGGGCGGAGTAAGGAGGACTTTTGCTCCTCGTGGTGCTTACGGTAAAAAGAAATGGCTTGGCAGCTGAGTGGATGAAATACGAAGTTAGATAACCAACTCTAAGTTCCTTAATAATAAAGTCTATTTAAAAAGATACAACTGAATGACTTTTTCCCCTCTTACCAAAAACAAAACAAAATTGTATTTGAAAAAAAAAACTGGCTCTCTTTTTACCAACATTCGACATTTATGCAATGAATCTCATTTGTATGCACTTGTTAATGACATCCAATATTCACTAGCGAAAGGCAAGAACTGCTTGTGTGGAACTAAATTTCCTTCCCCCCTGGATGCCACTGTGGCTCTTCCTCAACGTCTCTCTTAGACTCTACGCACTTACCTCCTCCCAGTTTCTTTCCAATTCTTTTAATAGTAAGACATAGGCTTATGTGCCCTCATGGAACAACCTCAGCTTCTGGAGGCAGCTGGTGCCTGTTGATAGGAGTAGAACTTGAAAGCATTTTCCTAAGATATCCTGGTAACAGTTTTGGCAACAGGAGCTACTAAAGGAATACATTCATTTAAAAATACTTTCTCTAAAACAGCAACTTTCAAAGATTTATGGTTTATAGCACCGTTCAATGAGGCAACCAGCTCCATCAAGCATTTCTCTCTGCTTTCCACCAAAGAAAATACAGAAAACGAAGGTGCTGATGGCTAAAACTGCCTTCAAAATATAATTTAATCAGAGGATGCCGGTGAGATTACCTAGAACACAAACATTATATAGAATGCCTTTAATCTGCTATTATCTCTTCCTTTAAGAGAATATGTATTAGGAGCATGGCTCAGTTCCCCCAAATGTGTTGATTTTTCCTCAAAATCAAAACAAACTATCCAGTATTTATTCTCATTTTTTCCTGTGTCAGATAATAAATTGCTAAGGGTGACGCAAACATGTATAAGGCACAAGCATTGTCAAGGAGTTTAAAGTTTAACTGGGGAGATGAGGGATCTGAAAATTACCAAAAACATTTCAAGAGTTAAACAGTAAAGATGGCTTAAGGACTATCTTTAAGATCTAGTCTAAGGTAACGTCAGAAAAATAGAATGGGTATTAAGGAGGACACGTACTGCATGGAGCACTGGGTGTTACATGAAAACAATGAATCATGGAACACTACATCAAAAACTAATGATGACTAACAAAATAAAATAAAAATAAATAAATAAAATAAAATAAAATAAAAAAATTGAATGTCACTTATATAATGTTCTTTTTTAAAAATTTTAAAAGGATTTTATTTGAGAGAGAGAAAGAAAGCGTGCATGTGAGAGCAGGGAGAGGAGCAGAGCAGAGGGAGATGGACAAGTAGACTCCACGCTGAGCGCAGAGCCCCATGTGGGGCTCGATCTCATGACCCTGAGATCATGACCTGAGCTGAAATCAAGAGTCGGACACTCAACTGACTGAGCCACCCAGGTGCCCCTATATAATTTTCAATATAAAATTTAAAAAATATTTATAACACTTAAAAAAATTTTATAACAGTTACAAAAATAACAGTTATGTCCCTCACTAATCTTGACCCTGGCCTTAGACTTGAGACTTAGACTTTCTGAGAACTGGAGACAACAAAGTAAGGGGAAATATTTGGGCCCACTCATCCTACTTTTCTTTCCTTTCTCTCCCTGCAAAGGCAATTTTTAAATTAAAATAAATATATATTGTGTAGGTATAAAGCACTGAATTTCAAATTGGACTCACATAAATCATAGATTCTTACCTAGTACCGATCTTCACTAATGAGTTGAAGGCATAGATAAAACATTCTTTCCCTGGAGGACCCTGAAATCAGCAGACACATGTTTCCAAAATAGCCCTGGTGTTTTACGTTATGATACATTCTGGTTTCGTGTTAACAGAAAAGTCTTCATTACTCACAAATCCATACATTCCAAGTTTATTTACGATACGTAAAATAGCCGGACCACGTATATCCTGCTAAAAACATTGGATACGTAGGACTTTCAGGTATCCTTCTGCTAGTTCAAATGCCATTAATGAGATTGACAAGGAGGTCTGGGAGGTCATTAGCATGTTTATAAGGTGGTCTGTTGAGTTGAGGTTGTTCATACCCCCTCACCACCCCTAGGGAATGAGTCACAGGCCTACTTTTCATACCCTTTCCTTCACTCCCCTCCTCAGCCCCTTGCCGCTCCTCCTTTCCTCTCTTGCTCTCACTCTCCTCCCTCTAGCTATAAAGATATTTACACTTTGAACTTTTGCTTATACCTATGATGCCTGACCCCTCCTGCTCCATCTAGAGTTCATTCTTTTTTGGTGGGATTTTTTTTTTTTTTCTGGCAAAAAAGTTCCTGTAGTACTGAAAGAAGTGAGATTGAGGAAGAAGCATTAACCTGGCCTTGTATCTGATAAAGCACTTCTTTTTCTGGATTAGTACAGGGTGACTGTATATTCAGACAGAGATTTTTCTTAATCTATAGGAAATCTAAATTATTCTTTATCTTTGAAAACGTATTAATTGCTCCCACTGGTTTGGTGATTTTAAGTCATTATAGGAGAAAGTATATGAGATACTTCTTTCCCACCATGTGGTTATGATAATAAAACTCGAGAGATATCACTCTGCAATAAGGTGAGATCTTCTACATGCAATACATGGGCTGACCCAATGCTCAATGCCTAGGGAAGCCATAACTTATGGCCAGAGGCCATATGTATTTGCCTTGTAAGGCAAGAACCATAGGCCTAGGATTTATGGGAAAGATGAGACTTCCTTTGTTGCCAGAAGGAGGGGATAGTGTCAAATTCAAGGATGTGCCCTAGTGTTGAAAAGGCTCCCGAAGAGCTGTTCTAGTCCACCTGAGCTGACCATGTCCTAACCTCTCAAAAGTCTTAGAATTGGGAATATGAGGAGAAACACATTCCATGGCATCTATCAGGTTACTGTTTTGGCCATACCCTCATCTTAGTGAAGCCCTGATGGAGGTGGCAGGATGTGACTCGGATTCTTGGCTTTCTCAGCTTCCATGGAGATAGGATCAAGGTGGAGCAGGTATTGGCTTCATTTTATTTCTTTTTTTTTTTTTTTAAAGATTTATTTATTTATTTGAGAGAGCGAGAATGAGAGAGAGAGAGTACATGAGATGGGGGAGGGTTAGAGGGAGAAGCAGGCTCCTCGCCGAGCAGGGAGCCTGATGCGGGACTCGATCCCGGGACTCCAGGATCATGACCTGAGCTGAAGGCAGTCGCTTAACCAAGTGAGCCACCCAGGCGCCCCGGCTTCATTTTATTTCTTCTTGCTCTTTATTGCCAAAAGTAGCAAAGAGAAAATAACGTCTCTGCAAGAGCATAGTGGAAGAAGCTGATTGGGCAGGTAAGCCAAGGAAAAACCACGAGCAACGCAGGGAAGGCCTACAGAGGAGCGCAAGTGGTACCCAAGATGGCAGCCACACAGTGGTGGTCTGGCCATGCTTGGTTACACTAAGGGCCAGTTTTTAACCAACAATACTAGGAAGCTGAAACAGCTGGGAGCAACAAGTGAGGTTTATGTTTAATATTATTTTTTAAATCTCAATTCTCTACCCCTTTAGTCAATGTTTTTTCTCCCAACCCTCAACAGCCCTATCACTAAATATGTCTCCTCTTGCATCTTGTGTGTCCCCGATAAGCTGGCCTCTGCCCTTAGGAGCCAGCAACCACCTCCTCTCTGACTTTACCATACCTAGGCAGGGAGCTTCATGCAACTCTGATCCTTTGGAGCATGCATGTGGGCAGTGAGGCTAAGGACTGTGGGAGTCCTAGACAGAGGGTAAGCTGGGGGGAAGCCAACTGATGTCATAGGGTTGGTGAGAAAGGTGCAAAGCCATGTCATTATTAGTGTGACTTAAGCCACCAACCTCTCTGACTCTCAGCTATGTCCTCTTTACTGGATAATAATTGACAGTCTTATCTTCATAAATGGGAAAGATACAACTAGTCTGTCACTTAACACTTAGTAGGCACACATTAAACTGTGCTTTTTAAAAAAAATATTTATTTATTTATTTTAGAGTGGGGGAGAGAGAGAGCATGAGCAGGTTGGGGGGCAGAGGGAGAGAAGAGAGAGAATCTCAAGCAGACTCCCCACTGAGCATGGAGCCTGATGCGGGGCTTGATCCCAAGACCATGATATCTCATGACCTGAGCTGAAATCAAGAGTCGGACATTCAACTGACTGAGCCACTCAGGTGCCCCTACACTTTGCTTTTCATCCTGTCTAGATTATATGGACTGTAACTTCATAGAAAGCTCAAGTCTAAGGGAAAGTGACCAAACCTAAAGGAAACAACAACAAAAAATTCCTTCTAAAACAGCAGAGAAGTTAAGTTAAAAATTACTCTTTGTGCTGACTATCTGACATGCAGTGGCTTTGGGGACCAAGATGGATGTGGATAAGCTGAGAAAGAAAAACAGAAAAAGCAATTGAAAATTTCAGAAGGAGAAGGAAAGCTTCTCCGTTTCATCTACCCGGGAGTTAATGATAACACAAAAGATGTGATCATTTGCTCAATGCTGACAGTGGGCTGAGCCTCATATAGGACCTGTTCTTAAGAGCTTTCCAGGCTGCTGAAAGCAGAGATTTTTTTTCTCTCTTGTACAGGGGTTTTAAAATTTTGCAATGTGACAACACTGATTTATACAATGTGCTCAATTTATTTTTTTAGAAGAAGAAACTGCATGTGTGTGTGTGCACACGAACGTTCTCCCAGAAAGAATTCCTTCTCCTTACCCACTGTTCTACTCCCGAATTCCACCCCTCCTGACTCCTCCACCTCGCCCCCCAGTCCCCTGGAACAAAGAAGGGGAAGACTGAATGGGATTTGGAGTTTTCCTGCTGAGAAAGGGACATTTTCTACAACCAGGTCAGTGTTTAAAGGGCTAATGCTCTAAGGAAATTATCCAAAGGGGAGAGGCAGTTCAAGGTTATTAAGTTATTTTCAAATGTCTTGGCTGCTGCTGACCTTTGTGAAGGCAACAGGATGCTGCTTCCCAGGGGGACAGGATATGAAGCAATTAGAGAAGCCTAGGAGAGGCTCAGGAATGTTTGGGAATTCACACATACCCCAAATTATGTGGGAACTCCAAAAATGAAAATAAACTAATTTGATCAAGGACATATTTGCGTCCTAGAAAATATTCTAAACATGTAGCTAATACTGGATGTATCTGTGCAAGTGTTTTCCTACAAGTCCAACACTCAGTATTTAGTAGTTGTCAATTAGTCTTCAACGGACTTTCAGAGAAGAGAAGGAAAGCTAATTAATAATAATCCTTATGTGCCAGAAAGTAGAGGGTGTGAGGTTAAGCAAATTTGTCCAGTAACAGAGTCAGAGTATGATAAAGCTGGGCTTCCAACACAGCTTGATCTGAAGTGACAGCCTGTTTTTTTCTACTACACGATTATGGAAGCAAGTGCATGTTTAAGAATGTTCGAAAAAGAAAAGGAAGGAATAGCTGGAATGATTTACTTTTCTTCTTTTGGGACAACAGACCTAAATATATATATATATATTTCAAATTTATTTATTTGAGAGAGAGAGAATGAGAGAGCACATGAGAGAAGGGAGGGTCAGAAGGAGAAGCAGACTCCCTGCCGAGCAGGGAGCCCGATGCGGGACTCGATCCAGGGACTCCAGGATCATGACCTGAGCCGAAGGCAGTCGCTTAACCAACTGAGGCCACCCAGGCGCCCTGGACCTAAATATATTTTATACACACTCTCACATTCCCAAAAGTGCCACAAATGAGTCAGGGGACTCTTATGTTGTACCTATGTAATACAATAGAGTTTTTGGCCTGTATTCAACATTCTATTTTAGTTGCCACGTATATGTATCTTTGTATCCATGCTGCCAACTTTAAGCATTACCCATACCACACAGAATGTTACAAAAATCTTCTTTAAAATAAAAACTTATCAATGCTGTTCTCTTAAGATTCAGGGGCTACTAGATCTCAGCCCAAAAAGTAGGTCCTGTATACAAATGCTTAGTGAACACAGTGGTTGATCAATTTAAATCTCTATTGACCTACTAGAAAACCAAGAATAGGAAAAACAGAAAACAAAAAACAACAACAAAAAAACCCAGTTCTATTGAAACAAAGAAAGCCAGAACTCAGAGTGGTCTTAGGCATTAAGCTAGTTCTGCTTCCTTACTGTTGATGGGGAAACTCAGTCCCAGATGGACTCAATTATAACCCAAATCATATTGTTAGATAAACACAGAACAGAATCGAGATCTCAGGATTTGGTATATACCATTCAGACTCGCATGCTAAGGATTTTCTCCTAGGTACCAGCTATAGGAGACATGATTAACTCCATAAGAGACTCAGCGTGCTTTCTATGATTAAAGTTGATATCTAGAGGATATAAGAGACCCATTCAGGTGGGACATCTAAATCGATACACAGATGCTAGAAGATTTTCTGAAGGTAAAAGTAGTCAGCAAAGTGCAAGGCATGCGGAATTACTGGTGTACATTCCTTCCTTCATTCACATATCTACTGAGCACGTGCTATGTCGGGGAGGCTCTGTGTGAGAAAAGAGACAAAGTGCCTATCCTCATGGAGTCTGTTATTTCAGTCAATGTTATATGTTTTTTTAAAAATTTTTTATTTTTATTTTTAAAGATTTTTATTTATTTATTTGACAGAGAGAGATAGCGAGAGCAGGAACACAAGCAGGGGGAGTGGGAGAGGGAGAAGCAGGCTTCCTGCCGAGCAGGGAGCCCGATGTGGGACTCGATCCCAGGACCCTGGGATCATGACCTGAGCCGAAGGCAGACGCTTAACGACTGAGCCACCCAGGCGCCCAGTCAATGTTATATGTTACAGCTTATGCAACTTTCAGTAAAGAGGGCTGTGAGATTTTTTTATGAACCTTTGAGACGCGGAAGATACCAACATTTTCATCTACCCACAAGGTCTACAAAACCAAAGGCCAGACTCGGCACTCCACAGCCCAATGGTGTCGCATTCAATCTCTTCCAGTTAACATCTTAAACTGAGTTGTTTTCATGATTATATCATCAATTATTCATTACTGACTATTCCTTCATTGTGGTTGCAGAGCTTAATGAGACTCGGCTAATGTGACCTTTGGAACCATCAAACTGTGGAGGAGAAAGCCCAGCAGAGAAGACTGACCTCTGGGTTATCTTTGTGTACTAAAGCCTTTTGAAAAGTCAGAGCACCAGGCTTTTGGCAGCGATTTCACAAATTTAATTACCCACAGATATTCACCAGTATCCTCAAAGATTGACAGCTGAAATTAGACAGCTGATTCTGTTACATCCACTCCCTATTATCAATGGTGCTAAACAGCAAAGTGAAAAAAAGGTTTAATATTGTTTGTCCTTTATCCTGAGAAGACTGATGGCACAGTAAGAATTCTCAAGGGTGATCTGAAGATCCATTTTCATTCCTCTGGAAAACTGTTAAGAACAATTTTTATTTCCAAGTCAATATTCATAAAACCAGAGAATGTCAGGGCTGGAAATGACATGTGGTATCATGTGATTCAGCCCCCTTAGATGACGGATGAAGAAACTGAGGCCCAGAGACTGTAAGTGATTCACCTGAGGGCAAATAGCTAGTTGAGGGGTACCTGGCTGGCTCAGTCGGTACAGTGTATGACTCCTGATCTCAGGGTTGTGAGTTCGAGCCCACACCAGGTGTAGACATTACTTAAATAAATAAAACTTAAAAAAATAGCTGATTGATAGGCTGAAATTACACTTCAAGTCTTCTGATGCCTGCTCTATCTACTCATTTCATAGGGCATATACCTCTGCCAATCTTAACCAATGTTTAAACGGAATGTGAGAAGATCAGTATCATTCCTAGAACAGTGAGGTATCAGGAATGAGACCTAGGGGAATATTTTTTTTTTTTTTTTTAAGATTTATTTTTTTATTTATTTGAGAGAGCGAGAATGAGAGAGAGAGAGAGAGTACATGAGAGGGGGGAGGGTCAGAGGGAGAAGCAGGCTCCCCGCTGAGCAGGGAGCCCGAAGCGGGACTCAATCCCGGGACTCCAGGATCATGACCTGAGCCGAAGGCAGTCGCCTAACCAACTGAGCCACCCAGGTGCTCCAGGGGAATATTTTCTAAGTTGGATATCATAATCCAGTGTTCTTTATAATAAGAGCCCTTCTCATTCTCAGAAAATGTATCCACTGCAAACCAGCGAACACAGGTACTTAGCACAGTGGTCGCTGTTAAACCTGAGACGTAGCCGAGGCGCCTGGGTGGCTCAGTTGGTTAAGCGACTGCCTTCGGCTGAGGTCATGATCCCGGAGTCCTGGGATCGAGTCCCACATTGGGCTCCCGGCTCAGCGGGGAGCCTGCTTCTCCCTCTGACCCTCCCCCCTCTCATGCTGTTTCTCTCTCTCTCTCTCAAATAAATAAATAAATAAAATCTTTAAAAAAACAAAAAAATAAAAAAAAAACTGAGACGTAGCCAACTGCTCCTTCCTCTATAAATACAGGTACTGAAATAGTGAGCGATAACTCAAAGGAACAAATAAACTCACCCAAACTTGAATCAGAGCAACTCCTGGCACAAATAATAGGGAGCTGGAGCAAGAACAAGGGCAAGATATGCTTTAAATGTGGTATGGGGGGGCGCCTGGGTGGCTCAGTTGGTTAAGCGACTGCCTTCGGCTCAGGTCATGATCCCAGGGTCCTGGGATGGAGCCCTGGGTCGGGCTCCCTGCTCTGCGGGAAGCCCGCTTCTCCCTCTCCCACTCCCCCTGCTTGTGTTTCCTCTCTCGCTGTGTCTCTCTCTGTCAAATAAATAAATAAAATCTTTAAAAAAAAAAAATAAATGTGGTATGGGGAGTGGATTTGGAATCTGAAAAACCGCCCAGAAAATAGTAATCAAGGCCCTCTGGTCCAGAGGAAGGTGGTGTCAAAACTGAGATGCTACTGGGGGTAGGGAGCATGGGCACTTACAGTTAGAGCACGACTCAGCAATTTAATTGAGAAGAGAGCAACAGGATGCAAGAAGACACAAACCCCGAAAGGTACGTCTAAGGCAGATGGCCACAATTCCATGCAGTGTCAAATACTGGAACCAGTGGAGCCGCAGGAATGGTAGCCATAGAGGACGGGAGAGTCGGGACCTCAAGCAGCCACTGTGGCAACAGACACCGTAACAGTAATGAGAAATGTTGCCTGGAGCGACTGCTGGCTTCAGGCAAGGAGGTTTTATATTGCATTTGGCTAAGCAGGAATCACCAGAGAGTTGTGAGCAGCTCACATGCAGTAGGTGGCTGCAGAAACACGCCTGGGATTGAGGGCAGAGAGAAGGGCAGATCAAGGTCATTTGACACCATCTACAGCAATGTGGACAACATCCCAAATGACCCGCAGGAAAAGAGAGACACTCCTGTGGACCTGAGCTGCTTCCTGAGCAAGGCATGTAAAAAAGAGCTGAACAGTTAGCATATTCCCCGGAACCCCATTTTTCATTCTCCTGTGAAGTGCTTCAGAGATAATGAGACAGGGAACCTCCTGGAATGCCTTCCTGGTGATCGAGTCAGCAGGTTTCCTACTGGGTTTCAGTAGTGAATGCCTCCTGGTTTTTTTTACCACGGCAGCGTCTTTGAAAGGGGAAAGGACCAGCTTGTCTGAAACCCGAAGCCTTCCTGGGGGCCAGCTGGCAGAAACAGAAGGGCAAACACTTCAGCCGGTATTACAGAAAAGTAGCAGCAAAGCAACCTCCGGCCAGAACTAATATAGGGAGAACAAGCTGTGACCTCAATCGGTTTCTCCATCTCTCACCAATGGGAGACGGCAAAGAGCGTTTACTTTCCTCACAAGCGAGCCAAGAGTAGAGACAATGCTAACAAATGTAATAACCAATATTTGGGCCGTCCCAGTCACGACATCCCAAGGAAGATGTAACAGAACTGGAAGAGATCCAGGGAAAAGCAGCTAAGATGATCAAGGGGAATACTTATCTTTCATTCAAGGACAGGCTAAGAACCTAAAAAGGATTAGAGCTTCTCAGACTGGGAAGATGAAAATGAAAAGGGGGTTGTAAGGGGATGTGAGATTAAAGTCTACTTTGGTAAATACCATTGTATTCACTGAATTCTGCAGCCCTTAATGGGGGCCATCCCTTGAGGTTCAAAAATGTACAGTGAAGAGAAACTGCAATATACCTTTATTTCTTTACACCGAAATCAGCAGATTCATGGGACTCAATCTTCTGAAGACAAGGTTGAAGAGGAGAATGGAGGAAGTAAGAAACCGCTGGATAAACTCAATGCCAACTGATTTACGGTGGACTATTAAGAAATGGTCAGGATGCATCCTAATTTTTTAAGATGGAAATTACTAGGTTAACTGACGAACAGCCACTGGTGTCTGCATCTGGGATGGAGTTCTTGGCTAGTTGCCCTAGTGGTCTGACCCAGTGTGCTATTTCTTATGCTCTTATTATGTCATCTATGCAGGAACATACTGCATGCAAGTTTGGGATTCCTAAATTCTTTTGACAGTCCAGAACACAGAAGAATAATTTTCTAACTCATTAAGAAAGCAAGAGAGTCCCAGCTCTTGGCTCTGTTCGGTTTACCCATATGGGAGTATGCAACATAAAAAGGTGAAAGAAATCCTAACAGAATGCAGCAGCTGGTTAAAGGCTATTATATTGAAATTTTCATGAGTTTGACAGTAGGCCAGGAAACTACAAAATGGCAGAGAGTGGAAAAGGCAGTTGTAACAGGTTGAACATTGTAGGTGATTATTTTTTCAGGGGCAATGAAAGCTGTAATCAAATAACCTGAAAGAGACACTGGCAGGAATAAGAGAGTCCCCAGGGAGAGAGAATATGAAAACTGTAACAATGATGAATGCTACGGACTAATAAACTAGACAAACATGTAGTTTGAAGTATCAAAATCAAGATTCTTAGCATCATATGAAAAGCTGGTGTCAGGATGCAGGCATAAACACTGTCTGATTTGCAAGCTAGAGCAGAAGATGCTGGTAATGACTTACAACCTCAAGCACGAGTGCACAACTCAACAACTAACTGGAATGGGGTTACTGGTGCAGAAACCTCTGGTTATTTAGGTGATCAGTTTATCCCAGCATTGAAAAGGAAAAATTATTAAGTATTGAAAAAAAAGATCCAGAGGGGGCGCCTGGGGGGCACAGGCAGTTAAGCATCCGACCCTTGGTTTCAGCTCAGGTCTGATCTCAGGGTCCTGAGATCAAGCCCCACGTCGGGCTCTGTGCTCAGTGTCAAGTCTGCTTGGGTTTCTCTCTCCCTCTTCCTCTGCCCCTCCCTGTCCATGCACATGCATGCACTCTCTCTCTCTAAAATAAATGAACAAATCTTAAAAAAAAGAAAGATCCAGAGAAGACATCTGGCTTTGTGCCTGGAAATGTGTGCTTAAAACTCTTGAATGCAAGTTGAGACAAGGTAACAAAGAGGAAGGACAAGGGTGGGGACTGGTTGAAGTAATGTCATTATAAACTTATTAGTATTGTTATTTGTGGATAAATAAGGCATCTCGAATTACAAATAGCATTAGCCAGTGCATGAAGTCCACTGAACCTTGTACATCAAAGTAATTTGCTATGAAAAGAATCTTTTAGACAACAGTAATATGTAATAATAAATCACAAATGACACTAGTCATCTGTTTGTTGACAATGTATATTTTCTGAACACATGTTCTCCCTACATTAGCTTAACATTTTAGAGGTATATTTGAGAAATTCTATTATCTCTAATTTCAAATAGATTATAATTTTTAGAAATACATGATCTCCAGAAAGTTTCAGAGGTATTTTTGAGCAGTTATGTAATTCCTCGTTCCTAGAAACGGACTCCTTCAGAGGGTTTGGGGTCTCCAGACTCCCCTTTCTACTGATTTTTTGTCTATTGCTCTATGTCTCTTACTAGTAAATCAGGCAGAATGATAGCCCTAAATTAAACATCAAGATTTGAGCTTTTTAAATGGTTACCTGGAGAAACTGGAGTGGGTTTAGGGAGCATATCTGCAGCTAATTAAACAGTGGAAAAATAGAATTCGTATGCTTTTTTAAAATAAGAATTTATATTATGTTAATGATTAAAATAAAGAATTTTAAAAATAAAGATAAACTTCTTGAAAAGCTGAGATCTTGTTTTTGGACTTGGGCAAGACCATTCAATGAGTCACACTCATTGATTCTTAGAGCTATGAAGCCCTTAGATATCACCAAATCCAACTTCTTATTTTATGAATGAGACACCAAGGTCTGCACAGGTTAAGTGACTTGCCCAAGGCCACACCATCAACTCATGACAGAGCCAGGACCAGAAATCAAGTTTTCTTGTTTCCTGATCTGTGCCCTTATCAACACTGCCACCACGATCTTCAAGTCGGTGAAGGAACACCGGAAAAGAGGGGGACAGAGAGAGGGTAGCTGCTCTCTGATACCACCAAGGAGCAGCAAGAGACTAGTTATGGGGGTGGTGGTGGGGGAATTATAGGTTTTCTTTAATTTGTCTCCTTTTTATTTTTGGACAGAATTCATGTTCATTGCCACACAGCAATGATCTGGGATCTTTTGCAGTGGGTGTAACATCAGGGAGAAGATAAATATTTAGGGAAAGAATATTGGCAGGGGTGGGGGTGGGGGGAATGCTAGGAATCCCCGTGAGATATTTAATAAGCCCCCAACAGGAATAATCTGGAGAATAATGGCTTGAAGATGTTTTGGGTTCTCAGGTGGTCTTCCAACCTTGGCTATAAAAGAAGAGTCTTTGTCTAGTAAAGACCATCTCTTCATCTATCAGAAAGAATTGGATAAAGTGAGAGATTTATAAACAGGTTGAAGGAGTAGCAGGTTCCAAAAATCTTAGGTCCCAAAAATTTATGATGACCAAGACACTGGAGATGACTGGGAGGAGCCTGAATTAAGTGTTCCACAAAATATACAGTGGATGTAAAGCCATACAGTGCGTGTCTAAATCAACTTATCATTTAATAACACAGGTGATTTAAAATAGGTATTAAAATATGTAGAGTGACTGAATTAATAATTATACAGAATGAAAATACTACAATACAATAAAAGAAGAAAAATAAAAAGCAGGATCAAAGCAAATTGAAGGAGAATGTTTAAAGGTAAGAGATACCTTGCCTGGAAAAATTTAATAAGACAAAGCTTTCCTAAAGGATGTATTTCTCCTTGAAGAGTCCAAAGAGTTCCCTCACCCCCATTCTTCTGGGTTAACACAATTGAGGCACGCAATCTAATTTCTGGAGAACCGTGGTAATGAAGATCTAGGATTGCTGATATTGCTGTAGACCTGAATTATGAAGAATTGATCAGCAGTGGAAGAACAGAAAGTGACCTGATAAAACATGGGAGGCCGAAACAATGGGAACACGTGGAGTATTTTTAGTCAGACTCATGAAAGAAGCAGGTTCAAAGACTTTAGTTGGTACTGAAGATTATTTCATGAAGCCGACGAAATTAAATTGTTGAGACAGCGGATTCAAAGTGAAATTGAAGTTGAACTCTATTGCACCATCAATGGAAACTGTTAAGGTATCATCATGAGTCCATATCCTCCCTCCTCTCCCTTCCACGTTGACCCGATGTATCATAATTTGTATTTCATGCAGCATCCCATGGAAGGCGCTTCTAAGCACCTGTATTCCTTTGACTGACATAAATGGCCCCAGAAAACAGTATCATTCTGTTGTCATTATGTGAAAAATGCTGAGTGCTATGTATCGAGAATGAACACTCAGCTCCACACATCCGGGCCCGCCGCTGACTGCCTTTTGGGTACGTGAACTATTTATTCACCTAAAACACTCTGTGTACATTGAGCTGCAGAAAGCATCCATCTTTGCTGAAAAAGAAATGTGGGCAAACCCCCAAATAAATGAAACTGTCCTTATAAATATTCACTCCCACTATCAGTAATATTATCTGCAGCTTTTTGTTCGAGTGTGGAAAATCCACTCCACCCCAATCACAAAACACAACATATATGCTGTGTCAAATGGGTTTTTCCTAAAGGCAGCTCCCTATTGCATCAGCACATTTGCAGTGGTAATTTTAGCATGAGTTGACTAGCCAAGCTTCCTCGTGGAATGAAGAACTAGGTATTGTAGGCCAGGTTAACGTCACATTTCAGAAATACATTCACTTGTGAATATGCAGATTAGCCACAATAAATGCCCTTTTAGGAATGTGATGCTTCGGACTTACTTGATATAGTAGGGCACTTTGTTTGGTGAGATGGCTCTCTCCCAGGGACCCTGGACAGAAGCTGAAAGAGAGGGAAAGAAAAAGGCAAGGAGGTTAAGCTCACCACAAACAAGAAAGACAACATTAATCTCCAGAATTACAATTTTACACTGATATTGGTCTGTTTGCTCAGTTGCCCATGAAGACAGGACGGATTAACCTGCTGTTCTGAAGTTTCTGTCCTAATCTAAGTGAAATTGAACTCATTCAGGCACAAAGATAAATGCAAAGGAGAAAAAAAAAAAAAAACCTTTCCACCGCTAAACCTATAGAACAGATAAGAAATGGAATGAGTCGACTGACGGGTTTTCTCTTATGTGTCTCCATTGGGTGCTTTTCTTATAACACTTCCTGTTGCTGCTTCTCAATATCTTTTACTATTTGATTGACTGGGTTTTATTAGTTTAGCAGCTGAAACATCCTTGCGTGATAGAGTTACATTCTAAGTTATTGAAGCTAAAGCACTACACTTATCATTCTGATATGCTTGTTTGCGTCTTTGTTTGGTTTAAACAGAATCCAATCTCATTGACCAATAATATGTTTAATTGGTGCCACAAAATATCAGCTGACCAGCACGATCTTATTGGGAAAAAACAACGAAAAGCGAGAGAATGGCACCTGATACCAGAGTATAATAAAACTTCTGTGATGAGTGATGAATCCTATAGGTGAAATTAAATTTCACATACTGGGAATTTGTTTTATAATGACCATATTGTCTATTAGTCAAATCAATCATCTTTAAACTGTGTTTTAAATGCTTAAATTGTCCAGGTTTTTTCCTTTCCCAGAGATGAGCTCTAAAAACACCTTTTATATACTGTTTAATCTGATGGGTTTTTTCTTTCTTTAAGACAAAATAATCACGTTAGGATGCACTATACCATTTCCTCAAGAATAAAATCTTCCTCCTGAAAAGAATTTTTACGAAACTGGAGTTTTAAGAGATAAAGAGTATCATCGGAATACAAATATAAGAAGCATGCTTGTTAACATTTAGCAATTTTATGTGTATATCCATTTTTTCCCTGAATTTTCATCCTGCTTATAATTTGCAGCCCAGCTGATGCTGACCATTATTTCCTCCTATGAAAAGCCTCCTTCTAAATTAGTCTCACAGTAAATTCACTCTACACTATATTGAGATGTAAGAAAACGTCAAAGCTAATATATCCTTGACTACACTGTATAATATGAAAGAACAGTTTCTAATAAAAGTTAACTTCATCCACTGCCAGACAATTTAAGCGTAATGAAACTACAGATTCTTTGTTTTATACAAAATAATAGAGGGATCGAATCACCTAACCTTCAACCAGACACGCTGCTTTGTACCTTGGTGATGTGTCTTTTAAAAGATAGAGGACATGGATTTGTATTTAGCTGCTAATTAGGCCTTTTCATTTTGGCAGACAGATTTTTAATATGGGGAAAAAAAGACATTTATCTGCTGTTTTGAAGTAGTCCCTCACATTCGGTGTTCTTCTATTCCTACCCTCTCTGCCTTTCTCATTATCCGCCCTACTCTCCTTTTGTCTGTTTTCTTCGCTAGGACACAGCCTTCTCGCCCCGATAAGGCGATAAAGGAAGTGAGATCTGATTTGAGAACTTAGGCTGGACTCCCTGACCCACCTGGGCAGAGTCGGATGTTACAGAAACCTAAAAACCCAAGCCCTCTCTAGGAGGAAACAGTGTAGAGAGCCAGAAATCCTAGCTCCTGCCTGCTCAGCACACCCCCCCTCTTAAAGCCAAAATGGATTGCAGAAGGAAGAAGAGAATTTCCCAGAGCATCTGGTCCAGTTCTCACCAGCTGTACTGCCCAGTCTATGAACGCCTAAACTGAGAAACAACTGCTATTCTTTCCTTAGAGGTGTCTATGGGCTGAACCCCACTCTTTCTGTCATTATTCCTTTCCAGTTCTTTATCAGTTTAATGGTCCAGAAATCATTTCTGATTTGGAGGATGCTGGGGAATGTCCTCTGATAGCAGAAGAGTCCATTTGCATTTCCTATAATATATCTAGGTAACTGTCAGAGAGAAGTGTGCTTGGAGAGGTCTCCTGGCTGCCTAGTTGGCTCAAGTGGGGGCGGGGGCTGCCTGAATGGAGCAACCTTCAAGCAGAAAATCTAGCAAGAGACAAGAAAAGCAGCGGTGCCCAGCTGAGCTAATGGCCACACCTACACTGAACGTCTACACTTGACTTTGCATTGTTAAGCATTAAAAAGAAAAAAACTCCAATAAAATGCTGGAGGAGTACTCAGAATATGCTTAAACTAAATAGTTGAAAAGATTGCGAAAGAATATTCTAAAAAGTTCTAAGTGCCAGATCGACATGAAACTTTAAGTGTTTATAACTGCGGGTCTCAAGTGTTAATTTTCCATACAGAGTATATGAACTGTATGTAAAAATTGTTGATTTCTTCGTTTTTTAAAATCAGACAAGCCTTTTGTCTTCGTGTGTAGCTATCAAATGAATCCAATGGTGAAGGTCAGTGAATTTTTTTGTGCTGGAAGATGTTTGTTCCCCCTTTGACTCACAGTCTATGAACACACCTAAACAACTTAGGTTTTGTCATTTGAAACCCTGACATTTAAAAAAAAAATTTTTATTATTTTTTTAAATTTTATTTTATTATGTTACATTAGTTACCATACATTACATCATTAGTTTTTGATGTAGTGTTCCATGATTCGTTGTTTGCGTATAACACCCAGTGCTCTAAGCAGAACGTGCCCTCTTTAATACCCATCACCAGGCTAACCCATCCCCCCACACCCCTCCCCTCTAGAACCCTCAGTTTGTTTCTCAGAGTCCATAGTCTCTCATGGTTCATCTCCCTCTCCGATTCCCCCCACTTCATTTTTCCCTTCCTAATATCTTTTTTTTTTTTTAACATATAATGTATTATTTGTTTCAGAGGTACAGGTCTGTGATTCAACAGTCTTACACAATTCACAGCGCTCACCATAGCACATACCCTCCCCAATGTCTATCACCCAGCCACCCCATCCCTCCCACCCCCTACCACTCCAGCAACCCTGTTTGTTTCCTGAGATTAAGAATTCCTCGTATCAGTGAGATCATATGATACTTGTCTTTCTCTGACTGACTTATTTCGCTTAGCATAATACCCTCTAGTTCCATCCACGTCGTTGCAAATGGCAAGATTTCATTTTTTTGATGGCTGCATAATATTCCATTTTATATATACACCACATCTTCTTTATCCATTCATCTGTCAATGGACATCTTGGCTCTTTCCACAGTTTGGCTATCGTGGACATTGCTGCTATAAACATCAGGGTACAGGTGCCCCTTCGGATCACTATATTTGTATCTTTGGGGGTAAATACCTAGTAGTGCAATTGCTGGGTTGTAGGGTAGCTCTATTTTCAACTTTTTGAGGAACCTCCATACTGTTTTCCAGAGTGGCTGCACCAGCTTGCATTCCCACCAAAAGTGTAGGAGGGTTCCCCTTTCTCCACATCCTCGCCACCATCTGTTGTTTCCTGACTTGTTAATTTTAGCCATTCTGACTGGTATGAGGTGGTATCTCATTGAGGAGAAACCCTAACATTTTGTACTAAAAAATGTCCTTAATGCAAAAAAATAAAAGGCAACTAACAATGGCCTTTCCCCATTCCTCCCCCGCCCCATCACCACCACAAACACACTGGAACTACTTGCTTTGGAAATAACACTCAATCCAAGGAAGTTTCTATGCGATTCGATTCAGTGCTCCTTCTCAAGAGACTGTTAAAAGGTTGTTGGCAATTTCACTTGGGGCTACCAGAGGATTCTGGGCTTGCATATATTCAAAAGTTGATCAAACACACGGTAACTCTTGTAAGTGTGTCCCAGAATTATCATTTCATTTCTTGCAGGGGTGCTGACACCAACAACAGCTCTTTCTTATCTCGGTGTACCCATGGAAACTTGTCATCATTCACCACGCTAGCCTGTGTAATAGACACACACATCTTTTATGTCTGGTGCGTCCATTTTTAGTAGCCCATCAGGGCAGATTTATTAGCAAATAGCTTTTATATGACACTGTGCTATCCTTTGGTATTTTCTTATACAAGATGTTTCTCTAACCACTACATGTAAATCCAATGTAGCTTTGTGATTCAGATCCTTGAGTGTAAAAATCATGCATTATCATATGGCACCAGCACCCCAGGGGTGGGGGGATTGTCTACTCAATTTAAATAGCAAACTGCACGTGAGTTTATTCATTCCAAAACCAACCTCCAAATTTCCCCTCGCGTTACAGATGTGGTATGTTATTAGGAGCAAGAAAGGGGAGCAGTTCTACCTTCAAATGCTTTTCTTCCCTCGAGGTGACAGCATTCAATATTGTGCCCAAGGTGGTTTTGAAAATCACAGAGGCAACACTGTGTGGGCGAAGTTCTTATTTCAACCATTTTTTTTAATGCACGATGAACAGAATGTGCCAAGCGATGCACCCTGGTGTTAGCCATATTTTAATTGACATGGGGGCCTAACCAGCAAATTGAAAAGAATACTAATGGTATTTAAACCGTGCCAAAAGAGCACTCTCTGGAATTCAGACCCAAGTACATTCACTCATCTTTCTACTTTTCTTCTATTTGGTGGACTTGGCGTTTGAGAATGTAGTTCGGTCAAAAAAACTGGGGGCAGGTTATAAAAATAAATAATTCAGCATTCAGTGGAGACTAAATAGAAACCTCACCTATGGGATTAACAAAAAGGTGTAAGGGAGGATCACTAGCCACAGGCACTCGGCTTCTTGGAAGGAGGCCAATTCCAGTAACGGTTTCATGGGTACATTCTAACAAGGAGATCGACTCTAGAGCAATGTTTCTCCATCTTTTTTTTTTTTTCTGAACCCCCCCAAGTCCCCCTGCTAAATATCTTTTTAGATATTTTTTCCTAATCTTCCCCCTCCTTGTCCCCAGTGAAATTTTCATATCACAGATACACTGTATATCTGTTGATGTACTGTATCTGTGCTTTACATAAAAAGAGTAAGA